TTAACAACTGGTAAAGATATTCAATTTCTTTAAGGTATCAATAAGTTTGGACTATTTTGAAAGAAATAGTGGATCACTAGGAAATTTTGCCCATCGAAGATCGCAGATCTTTTGGCGGTTTGGTGAACAAACTGCGCTTCTGCGGGCAGTGTTGAAATTAAGTGGTAGTCATTTCCTGAGTGTTATCGTTGGAAAGAACACGAATGCAAGGGAAGGATACATACATATGTAATTCAAAAATATTGTAGCTGAATATCATAAAGGAATAAATAAGTGCCCAACAATGGCCACTAATATGCAAGAAAACTATTTACTATTATGCTAGGCGGAAAATTATTTCAAAAAAAAAGAAAAAACGATTTTTGGTAGATAATTTCAATGCAATACCACTACAGTTGCTGATAGTAAATTTTTCGTTGAATACTTGATTCTACAACATTTAGACAAGTCACCATTCAGGCTATGAAAGAAAATCGAATTGGTAGACAACCAGTACACTGGGTTTAATAATTAAAATACGTTAAAAGAAAGAAAAACACAGATTTTTAGACTAAAAGATTGACAGAAGATTGGTACAAACGGTACAACTTTAAATGTGGCTTAATAAGAAACCAAAAGTACCACCAGTAAACTGGTTTGGAATTGCGCAGCACAAAAATGCGGTGTCATCCATCTATATATATACCTATTTTTATGCCCAGCGAAAGAGTAAACAGTTTTTTTTACAGGTTAGTGACTTTTGTGAACCACTCATTTGTTCATTTAAGACACTCAATTGAAAAACAACTTAATTTTGGTATTCTTTTTGATTTGAATAGAAAACTGCTGTTTAAAACCAACAATTCGTTGCCTAATGTTAAGGAGGAAAGAATCCACAAAAAAGTGATGAATAACCAAAGACTGGCAATAATACTATGGTTTGAAGCACACGTCGATTTCTGGAGCTCGCTTCGCATTGAACATACAAATTATTGAGATGGATTCTTAATTTCTAAAAAAATATTTCGCCTAGCACCTCTGTGAGAAAGTAGAGAGCAGTTTTGGGTTGAAGGTCCCGTTATGTCCTATCCACTTTTCCCCCCCGCTAAAATCGTTTCCTTTGAGGAGACAAGGGTAAGTTCCGCAGAAAAAGAACGTTCTGCTGAAAGGTGACACTTTGCATATTAGGCGTAAAGGAATGAAGATATTAGTTTCGTATGTCTACACATGTTTATCCGGTAGATAGTGTTTAGAAAGCTGCTGAAAAACGGATTGGGGATATGGTGGCCATTTCGGCGAGCATGCTTATCAAGCGTTTGTCTAAAGCATACAGTAACCACCAAAAATAATGACAATAACGTAAAAGCAACGTAGCAAAACTTTTTTCCTTTGTTTCTCAACCTCTGTTGTTGTTGGTTTGAAATGGCATATTTCGCCGAATTGTGAAGAGTTGCTTCCATATTTTTTTCTTTCATAATTGTTCATACACAATTGAAATATAAACTAATGAGTGTAAGTGCTTATAAAGTACTCTTCCGCTTATCAGGCGATTTAACACAATTTTTTTTTTTCAAAAGCTAACCAAACATCAGTTTAATATTAAGTCAACTGGAGTATCTGCACTCAATAACGAAGCTGAAAAACACAGTGAAGTATAGCTTCTTAATGATCTTTCTCACTATACTATTGAAATTTCATATCTGAATGCTCAAACCATCTGAAACTTCCTCACTAATTTTTTGTTTCTTGAGTTGACTCGCAAAGTGAAGGTCTTTTCTTTGTTGGTGTTCGTCTCTGCAAGAAGTTTGGAAATGCAGGCTTTTGATTTCCTGCAAAAAACTTACATACGGAATAAGACAGCATTCAGGAATCTGTCTGTTATAACATAAGAATGAGAACTGGTCTGAAATTTTTACCGTAATACAAGTGTCTTACAATTGTAAAAACTTTGTTTTGAATCACCTCTTCAAAACTTTTTTTCTTTTTTTAATAAAATTATTCTCCTCACACGGTTTTATCCATTGCAACCTTTACTCAAACCGTCTCCGCCTGTGATTTCTTAGTTCTCTGCGTATTGAGTAGCAAAATCTGCTTGTTTTGATTTATTCTTTCATAATTGAGCTGTTTATTCTCTAAGATAAACAAGGCCCTTGAAAGATCTTCTCCTTAACGATTTTTTTGTTGAACAACCCCCCACTCCTTGCCTTCAGTAAATTCCGCTGAACAGTGTCTCAACAGGTACCTGGTGTTCTTCCGTTTTACGGTCCTTCACTCTGATGATCTGCAACTGCAGGCTCTGTAAAATGTTTTACCAGTGTTATGTTTCTTTGACCTTTAATGCTAAATTTCCATCTGTTTCTTGGAGAATAAGACCTTTTACAGTTTTTCTGGCGCTTCATTCTTGATCATTCTGGTCATTTTCAGCGAAGAAAGCCCTCATAGTTCCAGCTTATATTTCACCATTAACTTTAAACAACTGCTGGAACAGCTAGGAATTTGACCCAAATAAGCGGGGTCCGCCTATATATAACCTTGGTTAAAACCTGCTAGTTTTTTTTTCTTTTTTGTCATTTGTCTCAGTGTTTCATATTAGCCTACTTATTGAGCGTAATAAAATTTCGTTGTCAACTGGTGAAGACAATATATTAAAAACCTACCAATTTCATTTAATACGGCATGATAAGTTAAACTTTCAGTGGAATAGTGTCGTTTAAGCCAGAACTGGCTTCACGCAGAAAACGAAAGTAAAAGCTGTGCAATTCCTTTGCATAGATGAAACGTGGCAATTGCTCGTGTCGTCTCATCATAATGCTTATAAAGCAATTTTGACAGTCGCTAAATGACCTGTTCCATGTCACTTTTAAATTACTTGTACAATTTCGACGCTTTTCTACTCGTCCCTTATTATAAAACATTTCACAGCTAAACAGCATAAAGGAGGGCTGTAGCAGTTAAAAATCCACCGTGGTTATCATACCTCCAAGCGTCGGAGGTTATTTTGTTCGTAGCAGATTACGTCAGCAGAATCATCTAATCTGCCCAGAATTAATGTGGTAATTGATACATTTCTAAATGTTCTTGTGAAAAAATCTTTAACATAGTCTTAATATTGCTCTAGTAAAAGCTCTTCTCAGCAGGCGCAAAATTATTTACACTTGAACATCAGATGCTAGAAGTAAATCTAATAGACTTTTGAAAATAAAATCTACATTTTGCCATTTTCAGCATACGTTACATCCGTCAGTATAACAGAACCACCTACGCAGTTCCCAGAACCATTACATTTAAGGAGTAGCGTTTGGCCTTCCTTTTGGCTAAAACGAATTTCTCTTAAATTTCCTAAGACGTTCCCCTGAAACTCATTTAGTTTACACACACTTCAACTTGTTCCACGTTTGTTTTTTGATTAATTTTAATTCGTGTTTTTTTTTGCAGAGGCACGCAGGTGTAATCCTTACAAACTATATTAATTGTTGCTTGACTGCTGACAAGTTCAAAAACCAAGGCAAAAACTTACATTTGTCCACTAACGTAAAATCACTGGCCGGACCTGACCTAATTATCCTTAAATTGCATTCAAAATCTTCCGTGTCTACTGCAGCAAAAAAGCTGGGAAACAGGACTAAACTCCACCACTTAATTTCCATGAATGTTTTCAAAACCTCAAAATTCCCTCAAAGTATAGCGTAAGACCAAATAAATGGAAATTTCTTTGGCACTTACTGGCGTAATGACTGCATCAAAGGCTGCCTGGTAGTAAAAAAAATATCTAATTTTCCTAACGGTTCCTGCTATCAAGACTACTTTTTCCGCTATCAATTCTGCAAACTCCCAAAAACTTTTTCGGTTAACAATTCGCTTTTGTTTCAACATTCCCATTTTGTCTTTCGGCCGGTCAAACAGTATTAGGTAGGCTCTAAAAATTTACTGCTGATGAGAAAAATTGTGCAGCATCTGACAACAGAGTGTATTCTTCTAACAAGCCGTTTCTCTTCTTTCCTAATGAATGGGCTAAAAATCCGTTTTGTAGCTGCTGACCCTTATGAACAAATCACAACCATAAACTACACTTTCTGTAAAAAGTGTCTCTTTTAAGCATCTGATAAATTTCCAGACTCCTAGTTGGAAAAGACGGTCTTGTTTTTAGAAGTTGGCCAGTTAAATTAACCAAAGCGCATTTACTTACTGGCGTTTTCACTTGTCCTTCAAAACTTAGATGGCTAGTTGGATTTAAACAACCTTGCAAGGCTTACAAGGAAGAAAAGTTTAAAACAACACAGTCAGACAAAAAAAATCACACAATCGACTGCACTACAAAATAATGACTCACACCTTGAAACCATGATGAATTAAGAGCCATCCAATCTAAGGTCCCACCGATAGATCTACGAAAACTACCTACTACTGTACAGTTTCTAATCCACTTCAACATTCAGGACTTATCAATCGTTCAAGATGCATTAACAACATCTTCCCCTAGTCTAGCTGAAGATCTCTCTTCTGCTTCTCCATAACACATCACCCCATTCAAAAACATCACTTTTCCAAGAAAATGGCTCTTCCGGAAACCCACGACCAAAACCACCGCCTTTCACCTCGCGTTAAAATCGAAAAACATACCACGTACCACCAGCTTACAACTGACCGCCCCACTCAGCTATGTTCCGTTTTCCCCCAGCCGAAACTGTTTACCGTGAACCCCCTCAGTATTACTACTTCTACGATTACCTCCCTCATCTCAATGTTCACCAGACTCTTTGAGCTCCCTTCAAGCAGCAGATGAACATCCTTTGCTTGTATTACTTATGCCCGGAGCAAACACTGCCAACGGCAGGAAAACAATCAACAAAAAAGCAACCTCGAAATGCCCCACAAACTTAATGTTCAATAACCCCAAACCGACCTGTCCTTCAATCACCTCTTCAACTGTTACTACCACCAAGCACCTGCAAAGACGTCTATAGTTCAAGAAACTTCCCTCTGAAATTACTCATCCTCTTTCAATTGCTCTGTAAACGAGAAGCCGCACTTCCAACCACATCTCACAGGTCGAATCGAGACACTCTAACCCTGCACCAAAATGCTACGCTATCAAGACCAACTCCACCTGAAGATTCTTTGAAAGTTTAAAAAGCATGTTATGGCAAAAGACAACGCCAATTCCCAGCCCCCCCCCCCACTAAAAATACAAACCTATCCCAGGTCACTCAGTCCTAATAAAACCCACTTATTTAGACCACGCCGTATCCGACCGAAAAATACCAGCAATCTTACTTTACAGCAAGTAAAGACTACCCAATCCTCGCAACGGTCCCTGAACTACGGCATCAGCTGCACCACACTACTGAAACTCAGACTCACTTGATTCCACACCAAAACTTTCACTCCCTCCTTAACGTATTCAAAAACAATATCTTCCGCGACTTACAGGTCAAAACGGTGGAACTAAAAATTTTAAAAAACTCCCTAACACACTGTTCCCCAAAAAAAACATCCTTAAAACAAAATCCTAACCACCAAGTATACAACACCTCCGTCCAATACATCAGTGACGAAAAACCATGCCCAAACTGACCTAGTTAACTGGAACTCGCAAAACGTCTGAAACGCTTTAGCACTTCCGGCAAGACATCGGGAATGTAACGGCCTTCACTTGTTACTATGCAATCATATATTTAAGTAGCCTAAGGCGCAAGAACTTAAAAAGATGTACATTTCAATTTGAATAGCAAAATTCTACTGGCACAATAAGACTAGTTAAATGAGATAAAATCCATCAACTCAAAACGCAAACATGCACAACTAATTACTAAAAAAAAATCAATTATTGGACGGATTCAGATGAATATTGCCTGGTTCGCCAGAACCGCCTTGTGCCTTTGGCTTGTTCTTCTCGTAAAGCGAGTATGTTAAGAACGCGTAAAACCCAGTCCATAACGTAAATGGAAGTAAAAGCAAGCCTGCCGTTTTGTCAATCTGTAAAATCCTCTGTAAGTACCATCCAAGCCCAACTTAATGGTTAATCAGAAAAGAAAATTCTTAGTTACACTTCAAATCAACTCCTCCATCAAATTTACATAAGACGCTTAACGCATCTGACAGAAAAAAAGTAAGACTAACTTTGTAGTATGCATATGCAGTAAGCACACCAGATCCAGCAGTCAAAACAGTGTTCCAGAAAAGCTGAAAATTTAATGGACAGCCTGAACATCAAATGCAACCATGAAAAACAAAAATCCTACTTCAAAAAAGTGAAAAAGAGTGGTAAGTAAAATGCTTTCACACAGAAGTCCGGTGAGAAATTACCAATTTCAAATCCTTTTTCATTAAAAGTGGGATCGTTGCCAACTGGAACGCTGTATTCACACCGTATAGCCCAAGAGCTGCCCTCGTGTCCGAATATTCAATACCTGCAACAAACTTCCAAATACAACCTAGCAAGTTGATTTTAACATCAAAGAAGTTTAGGCTTCAAGAAACTTATAGTACTTTTCACCGAGATCCATCTAAACCAAAAACTTTAACTTCACGTAGAAAAAAACAAACAGAAAAAACAGCGGACCTCCATTTTTATAAACGAGGTAAGTTGCATAGCCAAGAGGAGCCATACTTACTAAGTCCATCATAGAATACATTTTGCTGTCGACAGGAGCCCAGTTTGGCTTATTGCATTTCTATAAAGCAAAATCCTCAGAAAATCATTTTCAAGATAAACACACACTTTAAAATGAAATACACCTGGGCATCCATAAAAAATCAAAAAATTAAACAAAAACCTTCCAAAAATCAACGATACTTTTGTCTCTCGCTAGAGCTGCAAACCCTGTCAAAGCAATACCTCCCGGGATGCATGAGAAGAGAATTGCTTTCTTGGTGTCTTCGGAAGTCCACATGGCACGACTAATGCTTCGAGCACTGCAAAGAACAACGATAGCAAAACACGGAGAGAAATATTTAAGTAAAACTGCGACGCAAGTACCCAAGCAGAGCTTAATGCAAAGAATATGTAAAACTGCTTGTAAAAAAATGGATTAATTTAAGAAATGAATAGTTGTTGCTTGAATGCATCTTCAACACAAATTATTTGCTGCATATGACCAATTTACGCATAGGCTACGCATGAAATGAACGAGATTGGGAATTGGTAGAGCTCAAATCGTCTAATCTCAGCTACACTCTTTCTGGCAAGAAAATTGTGATCAGGCACAGAACCCTGGTTCGCCAAAGGTAAGACATTTAATAGGAAAGATTTCGTCATCGCTAAGAACTAAAATCGGCGACCTGAACCTACGAGGAAAGACTGACGCAACACAAACTGCCATTCCAATGATTTAACAAAAATAATCAATACGCTCGCTAAACATTAGTAGCAAAAGGACAAAGAAAACTTAAAACTGCTAGCGTACATAGTTCCGAAAACAGCTGACTAACACTGTAACGCCTTCTAAAAATGAATCCCCAATGAGTGCTTTTAGAAGAACAAACTAACAAACTTTCATATCAAAAACGCTATCGTAAAAATGGTATCCGCCATTATGAAGGAACATGTCAAATAGAAAAATCCTAAGGCGGCTCTGGTACTTAGCATGACTCAACAACAGTATACAAAAGAGAAAGTGCAAATTATGCCTAACAACCGGGCGTTAAGACAAGCACCAACTAAACAAAGAGGCAGAAAAAAGCGGAAAAGCTCTGCAATGAAGAAAATTCGGTCCAATTCGCCAAGCGTTGTATACTGGAGGGAACCAGAGGAAATAACTTACGGAATAACATGCGCTACGTCATTTACTCCAGTCGTTCGATAGTCAATCGATCGAGCGCTATCGAACGTGATGTCACCAAAACCCATACTAGCTGCGTCTAAAGTGTCATGATTTAGTAAGCTATATCAAAACAAAATTTCACGCTATACAACCTAACAGTAACGGAACTTTAAAAAAGAAAACCAAAACTACATCCAATTTCCATTTTGATTGGTACAAAACTATTATTATCGAGAAAACTGCAAAAACATGAAATAAGCCATTTTCAGACGACCTGCAAGCTTGTTTAATGTTAAAAATAGATGCCCCATCAACCACCTTCGGGAAACCACACAGAATTCCAAAGTATAATTCTTTGAAACTCATCATTCAAATGATACTATATACCGAAACTCACTATATCGAAAACTGCTGTTCACTAAATTTTCAAGCATTCTGAACTACAGCTCTGCTTTTTTAGAATATTTGAGCTTCTTGCAAAAGTCTTGCAAGCTCAACATCAAACCAAAAATGAAATCTTAAAACATTTTTTAAACACTGTAAAAAACGCCAAATCATTACTTTTGAAGGCAGCGGCTCCAAAAACCTTGCAGCCAATGGTGAATTGGTATGACTTTCGCTATATCCTGTTCACCTGCACTAACTTTAATTCCGCTTTCTACTTGCATTAAATGTTAGTTCATTTTAAAATAACAATGAGCAAACAGGCTGAAAATACCCTCCACGGAAATGAAGATAGATATGAATCAGCAAGTCACTACATTTTTATGACATTAATAATGAACACCTCCTCCAAGATTTTCATTTAAAAAACTGTATAAGAATTAAATATGACCACCACCCTCATTTTCGCTTCATAACCCCAAAAAAACTACTTAATTTTAACATTCAAAATCTTCAAAAAAAAAATTTCCTTCTCTAAATTAACCTGCCTCAAACTTTAAGCTCTCAGAGACTAATTTCTAAACAGAGGAACATTATCACTAGTAGGTCACTCATTATACATTTCTCACAAAGCAAATTTCAATTTTCAAGAGTTGCACAAAATAAAAAAAAAAAAAAACCAGATTAAATGACCCAAAATTCTACTACCTCGCGTCAGAGGCCCCATACCAATAACACCCTAACAATCATTCCTTAAATGAAAAGCAAAGAATACTCTCCCAAACTAAAAACAAAAGAGTTAAACTGCAATGTCGCAATAGATGACTTCCCATTATTCCTCGTAAATTCAATGCAAGTTCAATTCAGTTACTGCTCATTTCCACTCGTCCTACTTCTTTGAGCAACATACCCTTAAAACCTAAAACTCGTCCACTAACAGATGATGAGAACAAAACGTTCAAAAACCCAAAAGTGTCATTTTCTGATCACGACCCCAAAAATTCCCGTCCTCGTCCGTCTGTCAAAAATGATTCGCACTGGACACTACGTTTCACTACCGTATTCAGCAAAATTACCTTCAGTGCGCCGTCGCGTTGAAGAGCTTTGAACAGACGTTCGAAGTGGAAAACAGCAAAAAAATGTTTTGAAAACTACAACTTCCTGAACTTCTTGTATTCATTCCATAATGCAACACCACAGAATAGCACCCTATAGAGTCTCTGGCAGTTTTATGCAAACTTGATGGAGAAATCCACTCCGACTGAGATAGCGTATTTGACAAACACAAGTACTAATCTGCTAGGAAATTTTTTTCACTGATTATAAAAACTCAATTTTGCTGCAGACATTGGAACTCTTTACAAGCCTTCAAACTGATCAGTCCTACTTCATGCAAAACTAGGGTAGCGTCTCAGTCACTTTACTCACTTAAGTTCGGTTATAAAAAGCTCCCAACTTTCTGGGAAGGTGAAGTAAAATTCCAACTTTTAATAAACTAGAGCAAATGCATGAGTTGCGTGATAAGACTTTTACGTTACGAAAAAATGAATGTAAAGAAATTCAGAGAAAAAAATTTTCTTTGTCACCCAACAAAAATAGCCAATTTCATGAGGAAAATTTAACAAAAACCCCCAAGAAAAGACTAGTAAGCAACCCAGCATAGGTAACATCGATATGATAAGTACGATGAAACGATAAACATACGATAAAAGTACTGTAAAGAACCCAGAGTTTTTAATTCTTTACAGAATTCCTAACCGTTCCCAGTCTTGTTCTACTCCAAAAGCTCTCAAAAATGCAGCTGATTTAAATAAATTCTTTTCTTCAGTTCCATACTCTTTCCACTACAAATTCTTCAGCTTGTCCACCCACAATCTATTTTTCAAAAAAAAAAAAAAAAAAAAA